ATCATGCCAAATAATAATAATATATTTAGTAATTGAACTACTGGTTCAATATTGTATTTGTTTTAATTGTACCACATATTTATTTGAAATATTGATATATACTTAGTTATAATTACTCACAAATAATAGAACAATAGTTTTCGGGAATATTGATACATTTAAATTAATTATAATATTTTTCTAAAATATTAATATGTTTACATTTATGCTTCTCAATACTGTATTTTTAAAAAAATACTAATATGTAATATTTTTTATTCTTTTGGAGCAATATATCAATATCCTTATGGAATATTAAAATTGTAATGTCATGCCCTTCAAAAGCAATTTTTTTTTTTTTTGAAACATCTATATAAAGTGTGTTGTGTTTTTTGTAAGACATTAATATCATATTCATTTAGTACAAATATAATTTCTAGTTGTACTTCTTTAGGAGCACTAGTTAAATTAAAATATTTAACTAATCTAAAACTTCACAAATATAATATATAATAGAAATAGAAAGACTTTTAAAGAATAGACTTACTTGAATTTGAAAGTTTTAGAAAACTTTGAATAATTAACAAATCTCATATTCTTCAAAGATGTAAACTTTAAAATTCTTGTAGTACTTTAAAATTTGCTACTGTTCACATAGATATTTCTTACGAATAAATAGTTAGATTTTGATCATAACTATTGAAGTTGAAGATAAATGAGTTGTGAACGTTCTGTCCAAATTTCATGATAATCGAACCTCGGAATGATGAGATGTAAACGTTTTGATCACTGGTGAGCATACCGTTTAGATCTTGCGAATTTTTGCAATGTTGATCTCGAATTTCTCTATATTTTTGGTGAGCTTCTTCGCGCTGATAACGTGTTATGAAATAAAAGTAATAGAACTAGAAGTGAAGAAAATATAAGAGTCAAAACTCAAGTGTATATTCTATTAAGAATCAAGACCCGTATTTATAGGACTTAAAACGAGAGTTACAATCATAGTAGAATTGATTCTTCTAGAGTAGATATGACTTATCTATGTATCATGATAATATTAAATAATCATCAATAATTATCTCATAGTTTTACAATAAATAATTAATTTTAACTACATATTTTATGAGATTTACAATTTTTAATTATACATTTTATTAATTTTTATCAAAGTCTAATAAAAATCTAATTTTTAACTATAAAACAAGGACTAAGTAAATTTTAATGCAAATAATTGTTTTATTAAAAAAATTAAAATTTGATAAGTTATAATAGATTAATATTTCATTTAGAAAGATAATTTTCTCTCATATTAAAAAAATTATTCAAAATCTTCTTTATGGGTTATGAGTGTGCGAGTCATTTAAAATCTACAACCTGTTTGAGTCGATATGGACTCACTGTTGCATTTAGTGGAATGTTATGTACTTCGTGGAGGAAATCATTCAACTAATATCAGCGGATAAAGAATTGTGGGAAATAAAGCTCATCAAACTAATAGTAACATTCTGAAAAATAAATAAATAAAAACAAAGGGTAATACTTCGTGATGAGACTATTTTACTTGTTTCTCTAATTGAAAATTAGAAGAATGCGTCACATCGAAATAAGGAATAGTTTAGTTGCACTTCGAAATAAATGAATTTTGTAATTTTAAAGTCAAAATAGAGAAGGTTTTAATTAGCACAAAATATCATAATTGTTTGCACTCTTTACAATAGAAAAATATTTCATCTTCCCAATTGACCCCACCTACATCATTGCCTATCCTTACCCTCTATCACCACCACCAAAATAATTAAAAACAGAATTAAAAGTATAAAAAAAGTAAGAAAATAATTAAAAATAGAAAAAAAAAATGGTTCTTCTCCATCCAATCCATCACCCTGCCATTGACCACTACCACCTCCACCCATTCTCCCATCCCACTATGACACAATCCAGGGATTTAGACATTTTTCTGCAATTATGTTTCGTGTTCAAATATACTTTTTTCATCAAAGTTACAAGAATTTTTTAGGAATTTAACTAATTTCAGCAAATTCTTGTTGTTGACTATGTATATAGGGTTCATTCAAGATCTTAATTCAAACCACAATCCTAATTGTTCTAATTCAACCTTAGTTAAGAAGAAAATAAATCCTCTTTTTGAGAAGATACAATTTTTGGTTAATCCATCACCCTGCCATTGACCACCACCACCTCCACTCATTCTCCCATCCCACTATGACACAATCCAGGGATTTAGACATTTTTCTGCAATCATGTTTCGTGTTCAAATATATTTTTTTCATCAAAGTTAACAAGAACTTTTCAGGAATTTAACTATTTTCAGCAAATTCTTGTTGTTGATTATGTATATAGGGTTCGTTCAAGATCTTAATTCAAACCACAATCCTAACTGTTCTAATTCAAACTTAGTTAAGAAGAAAATAAATCCTCTTTTTGAGAAGATACAATTTTTGGTTAATATGTTTTAAATCACTTTAAGTGGGACTCATTTGCACTATTGAGAATTTAGGACTTTGGTTGCAATTATTTCTTTTTTATATATCTTTTTCTTTTCTATTTACTTATGGCTAAATCTACGCCACAATTTTTAACTAAACTATATTTTAATTGCATTAAAGGTTCATAACATTTATATCTCAAACTTTTTTCCATGGCATTCTTATTATAAAATTAACATAAATTATTTCAAATTATGGTTTCTCTTCAAAATTTTCTTTAAGATTTAATAAAAAGACTAATTTGTCTATTGTATTTTTGAATAATCAAAATAAATAATACTTCATAAATGCGATTAAATATTTGACTCACATTAAGTTTGATTAATGAAATGTCAAAAATATGAATATGATGAAGTAAAAAATTAAAAATATAAGTGTGATATTGAATAAAGGAGGTTAATAACCTTTAATGTAATTAAAATATGGTGTGAATATAATTATCATTTTTTATTTAAGGAGAATGGTAAATCAATTATTTTACAATGCTTTAATGGAGAAAATAAACGGTAAGACCTTTTACGCAAAGAAATGTCGATATGAGAGTAAGTATTAAAATTAAAACAATATGGACGATTTGCGCAATGAAGACAAACGATAGAGAGTTCTTGCGCCGATTACTCATATTTGACGGAATTAATTGAAGGAATGAGACGAAAATGACAAACTCTACAAGGAAATGTTGAAATGATGGTGTAAATTCCTAGTTTGAAGCAATAGGGACGATTTGTGCAATAAGTACAAACGATGGAAACGTTTTGGACTAATTACCCAGATTTTAAATAGAAGAGTGTTAGTATAATTATATATAATTCATATCTTCAATATTGAAATATGGAGGAATGTCACATTCGTTTATTTATGAAACTTGAATGAACATTGACAACCGATCAAAGTGGAGCACTTGTTAATGCTATGCACCATTAGCAAATTAAAGAGGATCATCCACCTTTGACTCTCCTGCACCTCCCAATATATAAGCACCACAATTACATAATTATTGGATGGGTGCTCAATAGTAGTGCAATTAAGGGTGATCGTTGACATTGTGATAATATGACTTATGTACTTACATCGAGAAGTACACAAAATATAACTCATATTTCGACCAATAACGATTTATTCATGAGGTGTTCATTCACTAACTGTAGTTTTGGAGACTATTGAATGTTGAACTCTTGAAGGTTGAAGATCAATATTCAAGATTGAAGCAGCAGTTGCTGTCCAAATGAAATAATTCAATATTGAAGCAGCAATTGCTCCGATATTTTGTATGGTTAGATCTTCTCGTTGAATAATACTATCTATTTAGACCGTTGAGCGTGAGGACTCTAGTTGACAAATTGTTTAGTTGTTCAGTATATTTATATATTGGACAATATAGTAATTATTTGGCTGTTCCTTGAAAATAATAATTAATTTATTTCTTTTGCTTTACGCAAATTGTTGAGTTAGGGGGCTGTTAAAGCTAAAGTACTGTCGATCTTTAATTAATTAACAAGCGCATTAGAACTATTATACTAGCCCTGCTTGACAACCACTATTTGGATAAAATAGAGTTTTGAATAGTGATTTTTTAGAGAATGTGTAGTTAAAAAACAGGAAAAATCTTTGAATTTACGTGTAAAATATTTTATTGTATGAATGTGTAGTTAAAAATGAGTACGAAAAAGAGAGAGTTTTGAAATGATGATTGTCAGACGGAAACTTAATTAAAAGCATGTTAAGTCTCATTATTAATGTCGGATAAACCACAATAGGAGAGAAGTGCGACTTTAAATAATTTTCTTCAAAAGTTACAACACCGTGGTGCTTCGACAATATTAAGATGATTAAAAGCGTTTTAAGTCTCTTAATTATTGTTGGCTTAAGTGCAACTTTAATTTTTGTTCAAAAGTTACATAGTGTCCGTGCTTATGTTAATTAAAACAAACAATTTATTTTTAAGAATAATATCATAGTTCGACGCCATGATTATAAATTCTCATTATTATTGTTTTAACACTTTTCTTTTTTCATTTTTTAAGTGGCTTTAATTTGGTGGATTAATAAACAATTTGAGTGGAGTGTGTTACTTTAAAGCAAAGTTCGATTTTTGTTATGTTGTTCGGTTTTATTAAATTTAAATATTCATGTATCGGCACATCAATTCATAGGTGGATAAGTTAATCGAGCATGTTACACAAATCTTGCACATCTTGTCTAGTCGTAAGCAACAGTTGAGAATCTTCCATTGCATAGTTATGATGCTCGACTCAATAGGCGGTGACTTTCAGTAATATTACTTACCAATTTGCACTTAGTTCACTAGATAGATGTCAATAATAAAGATTCAAACAAATTAAAACTCTGATAGACAGCAAATCTTTGAAATTTTATTTATGCATTTTACTGAACTACGCAACAGAAATGCAAAGGCAAGATCAAGAAATACAGTTGGTTGGCATGGCATATGTATTCTTGTACTTTGAAGATATGACCTACACATATGATTCAAATCCTGTAAAGAAAAGACAGTTACTGTGAATCATACTCGCCCTCTGTCGTGTCGTGTTCCCTTAGGGTATTCAGTGATTCTAGTGGAAGCTGGCTCCTGTACTGCTGCACCACCAGAACTGACGCCTTGGTTGAAAAATCTGGAGAAATTAACAAGTTCCCGACTGGCCCCAATTCCGAGCATTCCCTCCTCCTGTCAAAAGCTGCCAGTAATTGACCCTCTGGCATTCGCCCCACTAGAAAGAGATTGCAACGGCTATATGAGCGAATCACGTCAATAGTTTCCTGAGCATCTTTTATCGCCTTCTCTTCAAATTTGATTGAGCTGTCCTTTGATACTTTCTCCTTGAACTCTGCAAGAACTTCTTCATCCTCTGATCTAGCTTCAGGACGATTCTGATAGTTAATATCAAGCCTGACAGTCTCCCCGGCTACCTTAGGGTCTGTAGTAAATCGAACCACGTTCAAATTGATGCCAGGGTGCTCAGCCATCCGTGCACCATAGGAAAGAGCTTCACGATCATCATGGCCTCCAAAGAAGAAGACTGCAACAGTATACTCAACATTGCTTGCAGATACATGTGAAGTTCCACCAAGACCCCGGTCAACTAAGATACCAACCGAACACGGCGCATGCTCGAGAACCCTCCGGTTCACATGTCTCAAGTCAGCTCGTGTTGTTTCCAAACGTCCATCAAGTCTCTGATGCTTATGGAAGGGGAGAATTATCATTGCTACCCTCTTCTTTGCAGCACTTGAACTAATGTCCTCGTGCATGCTGGACATTGCTGAGATTGCAGTTGTTGGTCGGATAGACACTTGGCTAAGATGCTGGAATGCCTCAAAAGCAACGACAATTTGATTTGGATCAGAATCTTGCGACTTATTCCAAAATGGCATCCCATTTTTCCTCGCCTTATGGACCATTAATATTGCAGATGATCTTTCGGAAAGCTCCATCAAGTGCATAGCATAGACGCGAAGTCCTTCCCTCTTTCCAATGCCACGTGAAGCCTCCATGAGATTAATCAACGTGGGAATGTTTCTTGTACTCTGGAAACAGGTCAATATTCGGAGTTGACTACCTGTGTCCTTCCTCTCAATGGTTCTGTTCTTGTGTTTTGATGAAGCCATTTGAGCTGGCTTGTATATGGATACAACTAGAGGCGTTGTAATAAATGTCGTGAATAAAGCCATTAAAACCATGATAGCAAATGTTTGATCATTCAGAACCTGAAAAGTAAAAGAAAAAAGAAAATGATCTCAAAAATTGTGAATTCCACTTCAATCTTGAATTACTCAAATAATCGAACATGAACTTACGCCTCGGTCTCTCCCAATGTTAAGGACAATGAGCTCCACTAAACCTTTAGTATTCATCAGGAAACCCAGAGTAACAGCCTCTTTAAAAGGCAACTTGAAGAGCATCGAGATGATAACAGTACCAACAATCTTTCCGAAACAAGCTGTAAAAATGACCAAAACAAGAAGACCCCATGACTGAGCGCCTTGAATGGTGGCTACATTTGTCTTCAGTCCACTTGAGACAAAATACAATGGAAGAAACAGGCCAGACACAAGATCCTCCACCTTTTCCACTAGAGCGCCTGCAAAGGGTCCCTCCTTTGGGACAAGAACTCCAAGAACAAATGCCCCAAAGAGAGCATGAATTCCTATGGAATCTGTCACAAATCCAGCAGCCAAAACAGCAACCAGTGTACCACATACATATATCTCATTTACTGGCTCACCCTCAGGGCAGCGTCGTGCCATCCATTTGAAGATAGGTGGGGCAACAAATATGCATAGAATTATGAAACCAGACCCACACAAGAAGACCCACAATGAAACGAGGGGAGAACTGTCTTTTCCTGATAGGGCAATAGCCAGAGCAAGTAGAATCCAAGCAGCCACATCATTGACTGCTGCAGCGGACATGGCTATTTGTCCAAGATCGGTGGTTAAAAGCTTAAGTTCTGCCAAAATACGTGCCAAGACAGGAAAGGCAGTGATAGAAAGTGCTACTCCCATGAAAACCAGAAATGGACCATGACTTACACCTTGGGAAATAGTTCCTCGAAGCACGTATGAGGTCCCAATTCCTAAAATAAATGGAACACTGATTCCTGACAGGGCAATGCTTAACGCCTTCTTCCCAGTACGTTTTAGAGACCTTGGATCCAGCTCAAGGCCAACAAGGAACAGAAAGAAAAGGAGACCAAGGTTGGCAAGGGTGTCCAAAACTGTAAGGCTTCTGGGTGGAAAAAGAGCATTAAGATACTTATGGTTGCGCCCTAAAGCTGAAGGACCAAGTAGGACTCCTCCCTATCCGAACAGTATCATAAGTTAAATCTTCATAGTAATTGAAGGTACATAAATCATGCCTAGCACAAAATTAGCTTTTTGTATGTGGCAAATGTACATACGATGCAATATAAGAACAAGACGAGCACAATTTCATATTCTGCTAGTGTTTTATAGCTTTTAATCATTAGAAAACTTCATATTCGCAGTTTGTGCAGTGCAAAGCTTATTATCACTGAGACACATTATCTAATTTTTTTGTTTGACAGTGTTTCGTAGTTATTTTATTTATCATTCAAAATTTGACTTGACAAGAAGCAAGATACATGTTTATAAATTATGAAATTGCAAGGTTCTCGGGTAACATTAAGCATCAAAATTTCCAAATAAAAGATTCAAACACTTAAATGAAATTAATGTGACCAACTGCAAAGGTTCTCGTGTGACATTAAGCATCAAATTTCCGAATAAAAGATTCAAAAACATCAATGAAATTAATGTGACCAAAGAAGTATTGAATCTTTTATATTTAAAACTACTGGTGGTGTAACAAAGCACAATGCTAACACTGAAAAATGTCTTCCCAATGAAGTATCTAGAAGCACAAAACTTAAAGAAAAAGATTTATCCCCTTGAAGAATAATAATCATGACTAGGGAAAAAAGAATCACATCAGACAATAATGAGGTGCAAAATAGTATCACTGTTGTACTATAAGAAAATGAGTGGAGGTTACAGAAAATTACAATTATCTCAGCAATCACACGAGGCTGTCTTAGTGGTCTGAGAAGATAGGCAAGCACTCGGGATAGCACTACAACCAGGCATATTTGCAATATCACAAGAGGAAGCGCATAATCAAGAGGATTGTCCCCTTGAAAGACCCCGTTAGATGTAGCTTTCATGGGTGGTGGACATTTCACTGTTGTATTGGAAGCCATTTCGCACCAGAACAACACACCTAACCCAAAATCAGCAGATTTTCACTTCAATGCCTGCGTGGAAGACCATTAGGTAACAATCAGAAAATAAATTCGCACAAAATATTAACAAATTATTCCACAGATATAAGTATTATGTTCCAAATTCTAAATATAATCAAGTTTTTCAGAAAAAATGGAACTCAATCAAGTGTCTTTTGTTAGAAAAATGTGTAATTCTAACCTAATTCCTAATAATTAAGAGGCTATCATTTTGACTTGCCCTTGGATAAATGAGAATAACAATTAAGAAGTCACGAGCAGTCATCAACAATATTTCACTTTTCCAACGGTGGCTAAGATAAAATTTCAAAATACCATATTACGCTATTATATAACTCTATACCGTGTAATGAACAACCATTATGGGGTGGTTTATTGACCTCAAAAGAGAGAAGGAAGTTTATATATATAAAAGTGCTCCTGTTTCCAAGTCCAACACATACACAAGTTCAAGTTGTACAAGAAATCATATTCATTACTAACGCCATACGTCCTTCATAGAAATTCAAAACTTAAAGCTCCAAGTCTTCAGATTAATTCGTCATGCATAGAAAAAAGAGAATGAAGAAAACGTTTACTCCAGGAAGGCTAACAAAATCTTCAACTAGCGTGAACTTGACTACTACTACCCCCACTGGTTTAACTCTAACTTCAACTAAAATTGACTACTACTACCCCCACTGGTTTAACTCCAACTTCAACTAAAATTGACTACTACCTAGATTATTAGGTGAAAGATGGCATCTATTCATCCATTAGGCTTTGACTATTTGAAAAAAATAGTATTAAATAAGTATGATATAGAACTTTTGCAACAAAAGTAACACATAAACTGTTAAACTTTAAAACTCGAAAACCTAATTACTTTATTGCCGAACCTCTCCATGTCAAATTATCGAGAAAGTTAATAATGCGGAACATACCTTAATTCTTTGGGAATAATTCTTTAATACTGGATCTTGAATATTAATTATTAGTTCTTTTGGTTCTTGAGTTCTTGATATTGGTTTCTAGCTCCATAATCTTCATTGTCTTATTCTTCAATTTAATTGCTCCAATCTTTCTTCTTGATTCTTGATTTTTCAATTATTGTTCTTGATTATGGGTTTTGGATCTTTCTCTTTAATATACTTTCTCTTGTATTCATGGTCCTGATCATTGTCAATTGCAACAGAAGAAATATATACATATTCTTTCTCCAAGACAAAATCTTTAACCTTATAACTTTATCCCTCCCGCAAAACTCTACATTCTCAAAAAATCGAACATTTCCCGTTTCGAAGATTGACCTAATAGATGGATTTTTTAAAATTTGTAACCCCTTAACAGTTGCTTTATTATTTGGAACTTTATTGAGAATTTAAGTTGTAGTCTTTAGTACTTCTCTCTAAAAAGATTCCAGCACGATGAAATGACTAATTATACTCTTTACCACGTCCTTAATTGTTTTGTTTCGCCTTTCAGTAACACCATTTATGCCAAATGACCCTGACATGATGTACTGTGGGATGATTTCACATCCCTCTAGAATTTTTAGCAGAAGGCCTGGAAATTGTTCTCTTGATCCGTCATGTATGCCACCCACCAAGACCAAATCTAACATGTTTATTTCTTTTGTTGAGTTGATTTTCAACCTTAATATTGCATGTCTTGAACGTGTTCAGTGTTTGAGATTTCTTATAAATGAGATAACAGATAGCTATAGTGAGAAAAATTTGTTTATGAATATACTAAATTACTATTGACCATTCCAAGAAGTCAAAGTGAATGACCTACAGATATTTATATGAATTAGTTCTAAGACGTTCGAAATCTTATTGACATCTAATCTCCTTATATTTATTTGTTTTCCCTAAATATAATTAACATAAATATTTAAGTCTAAAAAATTAAGGGAATCAAGAATTCCTTCTGACATAAGATTTTCCATTCTCTTTCGAGAGATGTTACGTAATAGCTTGTGCTATAACGAAGCAAAATTCTTATTGGTTAATTTATGTTTAATACCGTTGACGTCGAAAATTGTATGTACAAAATTCAAGCCAACTTAGAGCATAAATGAAGATTTTTACTGATAATGACTTGTAAATTACAAGAGTAGACTACAAGTGTTCTCCTTTGTTTCTTGTCAAAGGAGATACTCAAAATATAGATAATGTAGGAAGAGTTATCACGGGTCGAAGTTATATCCTTCTTCTTCATTGTTCTCTCTTTTATAGGAGAAAATATACATGCTTTATTAATTCCCTATCTTATTACCTGTAATTCCGAGCTGAAGAAGTCTACACGATGGAATGATTCAATTGGCCTCCGAGCTCGATCTGCTAGTCATGATGAGAAAATCTTACAGGTGGATTTTAGTTGATTGTGTCAGTGATCTGTAATCATTGGAACCTCCTTGAAAGACTACACAATCTTTCTAGGTATGCCAATCATCCGAGCCGAACTCACACTGTAGAGCGTACGTGCTTTAATCTGAGTTTGTCCGACCTTAGAGCTCAGTTCGTTAGCTCAGTTCATCAACAATGGGCAGATTTGAATTGGTTTAATGAGCTCGACTCTGTCAGACCATCGTGATTTTAACTTTACAGGTGGTTTGCCGTAATTAATGAATTACTTAGGGAAATAAGCTAAGGCATATGATTGGTGGATTTAGGAGGTGTTGTCATGAGCTTATCCAAATGTATTTGATTGATTGGACGTTTGACAGTGTGTAAGAAATCTTTTATCATTATGTCTCCTTGAGCCTCGATAAACTAAATAAATCGAGCTAACCTTACACATCCGAACTCATATCAGTATGAACTTAATTTATGTAACCAACTGTACTTAATGAGGTCGCCTGGAAAGGTTAGATTACCTCCCAGGTCGGAGCAACTGGTGAGGTCGGATATCAACGTTATCTCCCAAGTCGAAGCTCCCTAGTGAGGCCGGATGTCAACAAATACCATTTGAATTCACATGCAAAGTTTCTTTATAAGAGGCAACCGTATGAAGCAACTATAGATTATCGTAATTGGATAAAGAATTGGTACCCACAATATTTAAATTAAGAAAAAGATCAAACTGATTATTTCCAATTAAACAAGAGTAATCGAATTTGTCCAATATAGAAATAGAAACCAAATTTCGTCTAAATAAGATACTGCAAATGTCCCTTTTAAATTGAAATAATAATAACCAGTTTTTAATGATAACTTAAGGTCTCTATAGTAGTGATGTCAAAAAAATCCGCCCCAACTCGATGGGTTGGTGAGGCGGGGAATAGTGATGGCAAAAAAACCCGCACTGCCCCGACCGACGGGTTGGTGGGGCGGGACTGGGCGGGGCAGAGCAGGGCCCCGTTGGTGGTGTCCCGCCCCGAACCCGGCCAATGAAGAATAAAAAAAATAATTAACTACAAATTAAAAACAAAAAATAGTTAATTTAAAGTTTTTGAAAAAAATAAACAGGGCAGGAAACGGGCGCGAGCCCTCGCCCCGAACCCGCCCCGTCTAAGGTGGGGCGGGATGAGGTGCGGAAGTGGCGGGGGGTGGGGAACCTGTCTCGTTGCCATCTCTACCCTATAGTCTCAACTCTGACTAATTTGACATTGCCCCTCATAGATGAATCTTTTAGCATCAATTAACTTTTGATTGTTCATGCAATCCCACATAGATACACTTATGTGAGTAGTGGTACTAAAATTTATCCACCAAATGTGTCTAGGTATTGACACTAAATTAACATTAAAATAAATCAAAGTGAGAAATGTATTTTTCTTTACATGCCGCGTGCTATTTAGTACAATCTCTATTTATGTATCCCAAATTTTCACAAAAGTAATAGCCATATTTATCCTTTTCAGGCTTTCGTTGTTTATATTGAATCGAATCGGATGCAACTTTCTTATTCTTTATAACTTGTCCTTAGAAGTACTTGCCAAGTGAATAATATCAATTTTATCTTACTTAACATTTCTTCTCTTTGCACACAATATAAAATGAGATTATTAAGTCAACTTTCCCTTTTGACGGTTGCAACTAACCTTACATTAGCCGAATTGTGCAAGAATATAAATCAAAACTAAATGCACGAGCAAGTCATCAGAAAGCTCAAACTTTAATGCTTTTAGTTTTGAAACAAGATGAGACATCTCCATGATATACTCCATTATGTTTTTTTTACCCTTATATTTTAGTGAAACTAACTGCTCCAAAATGCATGCTAGTTTCGGCCTTATTGCCTATTGTAAAGTGTTTTTCAATTTCATCAAGAAACTCCCTAATAGTATTTACCTTTGTAATACCCAGACAAGGAAAGGTTAAAAGATTTAATAGGTACTACACATACCACAAGGTGCACCTTCTTTTCCTGAAATCCATCATTAGAAACTCTACAGTTAAGCGTGCTGGCTTGGAGAAATTCTATGACGGGTAACCCCCTGGGAAGTTTTCTCGGGGAGCATGTGAGTGAGGACAAATCATGTTGAAAAGACCCATGTTGGTACAGTGGGGACAATACGTCGTCGATGTAACGGTCGGGACAGCCCGTTAAGTGGGACTCGGGTCGTTACAAATGGTATCAGAGCCCAGTTGCCAGCCGGAAATCGGGAACTAAGTGCTATGCGAGACAAAGTGCTACGCCATAGGACGGGAGCCACCTCTTAAACCCGTAGGAGCCACCTCTAGAATCCCAACGCCTGGCAACGGATCCTCAGATGGATCAAGGGCGACGAGGACGTCGCGAGTCTCACGGGGAGTGATTATAATACCCAGACAAGGAAAGGTTAAAAGATTTGATAGGTACTACTCATACCAACAAGGTGCACCTTCTTTTCCGGAAGTCCATTGTTAGAAACTCTACAGTTAAGCGTGCTTGGCTTGGAGCAATTCTATGATGGGTGACTCCTGAGAAGTTTTCTCGGGGAGCGTGCTAGTGAGGACAAAGCATGTTGAAAAGACTCATGTTGGTACAGT